TAAAATTTGATGAGTTAATTAATGAGAATTTTTAAAAGGTTTAAGGTCACATAGCAAAGAACTGCGTTTCTCACTGTTGAGATAACAAAACTGAGAAAAATGTGGAACAAAACTCAAAGTCATAAAAAACACCAGACTTACTGGTCTGAAAGAGATGTAGACACTCGTCAAGCCTGGAACTGAATCACATGGCGTAACTTTCAGCCAAACACCAGCCCCATACGGTGAACAATAACACTAGGGAGGTACCACTCCTTACAACAACCAAGCACACGAGATCCAAAGGGCAGCATCTGCCCAGGAATAAAGCTCAGAAGGCAGGGAGGGACAGGAAAGAAAGACAAAGGGAAATGGTAAACACAGGGAGGAAGTGGGAACAGAGCCGTAACATTTTGGGAATTACAATGAACATCACAAAACAAGTATGAATTGTTGAATGGAAAACCAATTTGCTCTGTAAACTTTTACCCAAATCACAAATAAATAAATAATAGTCTTTGATTACTGATTTGAAGAGTTAATTTATTCTTTGTGCAATCTTCCTTGAAAGCAAGGGCTTGGTGTCTCATTAGAATAATTTCTGAGTTGAAAACCAAGCCTGCATACCTTTGGAAAAAAGCTAAGGTTCTTAGTTTTTAAATCTTTGGTTAAATAACTTAAGAATTGTTTTTTGGTGACCTATAATAGACCACTGATAATTCTGAAACTTTAAGAAAAGCCACAAAACATTTGTTTCTGTTTTACAAGGAGAAAAGTGCTAAAAAGGCTTATTTCCTATGTTCTGAGTTCCATGAACTCTAGTCAATCAAGAGAAGTGTCTTATTTTCTTTGGGTTAAAACTCTGTTAGTGCTTCTTCTTATGTGTCTGCCTGACATTACACAACAAGAGCATACTGTTACGTCATCATTTTATTATTTTTTAAATTGCTAATGTAGTTGGAACTTCATTTCTTTTTAATCTAGCATCGTTAAGCCAATGGTTCAACTGGGGCATTCACACAATTTGCCATGGAGACTGTACTACTATTCAGATGTTTAGAGAGTTGATCATCTTGGTAGATCCTGACTATATGGTATTATATAACAAAGTCATTACGTGTTATATCCAAAAACCCTTTGAAAGTACAGTTAATTATGTTTAGACATATTTTGGTCTAAAGATTTTTTTTTTTCCATTGACTTTATATTAGTTCTGTAATTAATTCCTATCTGGTCTTTCACTTTTAAGAAATATTATAAGTCAATCATGGCCATATTAAGTTTTGTCATCTGAGATAAGTTTTTACTTTCCTGTCTTGCTAAAAATGACTGACCAAAATATTTCAACAAAAGATGGACTATGTTGGGCTTATGAAATGTACTGTGATATTGTGAACGTGGATAGCACTAGACTACATCAAGGTTTCCAGAACTCTTGTGTAGAAGCTGATGGACTCACAGAGTGGCTGATCCAGAACTGCGAAGGACAGACATGAACGACACAGACTGAGTGGACCAGAGCATTACTATGGGTTTCATATGGGAACACATTCTGGATAGAAGAGCTCATTTTCCTTCTCTTTTCCTAAACTGCTAACTCAGGGGTTTGCTGTTTTACCTGCAGATCTGGGTTGTTACTATACTATTCCTGTGTGTTTATAAACTTAATCAATTAAGAGGAAATATAAGAAATAAGTGAAAGTACCGTGGACTGCTAAAAGAACTAACAGATCTGTCCTGGAGGAAGTGCAGCCAGAATGCTCCTTGGAAGCAAGAATGGCCAGACTTGGTCTCACCTATTTTGGTCATGTTGTAAGAAGGGACCATTCCCTGGAGAAGGATGTCATGCTTGGTAGGGTGGAGGGTCGACGAAAGAGAGGGAGGCCTTCAACGAGATGGATTGACACGGTGGCTGCGATGATGGGCTCAAGTATAGTAGGGATTGTGGGGCTGGCGCGGGATCAGGCAGTGTTTCGTTCTGCTGTGCGTGGGGTCGCTGTGAGTCGGAAACGACTCGACGGCGCTTAACAACAACAACATAAGAAATAAGAGAAGAATGTAAAATTGAGACCAGAAAAGAAACCTTAGAAACATTAAAGAAGAATTAGGAGATGGGAAAAATCCTCACCACAGAGCACTTTATACTGAAGTCAGCATAGTGCTATTAGCTACTGAAAGAGCTGGTTTTTACACTGAAGGGAATCATCAGACTTTAAATAGGTTTAGATCTTGAAACTTAGCAAAGTTGTAAAGACCGTGACTGGAGAAGTGTCTGAAGTTCGAGCTATGAGTTTACAAGCAGGACAGCATTAGACTTCCGATTGGGCTCCCACGGGGTCTGTGCCTGAATTGGTGAGTGCTGCGGTGTTCGTATCAACAGCACGCAGCCTGAGGTGCTGTGGAAGCCACATGTGAAGAGTCGTCATTGCTGCTCTTGTATAAACACAGGCCTCAGGAACCCGTGTTCTTGCGTCAAAGAGCTAGGGCCGTAGTTCTGTGGTTTATTTCAATCAATTGGCCTAACATGGTTCTATCTCTCAGTTCATAATGCAGCATGTGGGACTTAAAGACTTGCCAGCAGCCATCCAAGGTGCAGTAATTGGATTCTGTTCATCTGGAGCAGCAGGAGAAACAAGACAGCCCACACTTAGGAAATTCGAGGGAATAACCTTGCTGATGTGGTAGCGAATGAATAGCCTCTCAAATTACTTCTGCAGTTACAATAAATAAAGACAGGAATGCCCCAAATTTACTGACAATTCCCAACGCTGAGAAGTGACTTCAGAAAAGCTTCTGAAGCACCAACAATGGTGTTGGATGAGACTGAGACATGGTGAAAAGCAGGATGTGTTAGGCTGGGTTCTCGAGAAACAAAGCCAGTAAAGCTTATATATATATGTGCATATGTGTGTACAGAGAGATTTATCTCAGGGAAATGGCTCACACACTTATAGAAGCTGGCAAGTCCAAAGTTCCTGGATCCAACGTCAAGCTGGAGGCTTTTCCCAACTCTTGCAGCCGCAGGGGCTGAGGAGCTCAAGGCTGGCAGGCAGTACACCGGCTGCTGACTCCAACAAATGACGAATCCAAGATGTCCAGGCCAAATGGTGGATTGTTCACTCATGGACAGTTGTAGGCAGCACAACAGAATCCTGATCCACAGAAGAATGTCTCTTTTCCCAGGATGTTCATAGATATACTGGAAGCAGGCCACACCCCTAGGGAAACTCCTTTTCAACAGATTGGCTGCTCAAAACATAATCATCTGATCCTATCATGGGAATAACCACATCACAACAGCTTAAACCACACAGAATTGTGGTCCAGCCAAGTTGCCACACAACTCCAACTGTCACACAGGATACTGTGTGACTGGGCCTAATAAGAAAACTGCCTTACCTACCTCCACTGAATTATTGTCAGTGTTTAACCCAGTGTCCTAAAGAGGATCATTCACAGGTCAGACAAGCCTTGAATGAACAAAGCCTGGACTCTGGAAGCCTGCCTAGCACACCTCTGGGAGAATATGTAGGAGAGGCGTTGATCAAAAGATCCTCTTGAACCTCACTGGAAAGGACCACACTTAGTCCTTCTCACTCAACCCTGTGCTGCCAAATTACAGGCAGTTAAGATGTGGATACATCTGTCTCAACTAAAGAGAGCAAGAAACCTTCATGAACTCACCAGCCTCTGGAAACTTGAGGATCACACTGAAACGCCCAAGTTGCCAGAAGCAGATGATGTCTCAGGTAGACATCGCAAGATCACTGAACAAGATCTCAATGCAGCCTGCTGAAATCTTTAGACTCTGCCTCATGATTGTAGCTAATCCTATGTTATTAGCTGAGCTGCAGGGCTGTCCACAGTAAAACTTCATTCTTTCATGAAGGTGACCAAAGGAACTAACTTTGTTGTAGCTGTTGTTTTTATGCCATTTGCTCTGTTATATTACTTCTGGGTAGTTTTCCTTCATTATGAAGCTCTCTGTATGTTCTCTGTAACTATTTACAGTAATCCTTGCAAATTCTTGGAAGAAAAACTAGCTCAGTTGTTATCTAATGCTGGCAACTGACTATTGGATGTGCCACCATTCCCCTAAGTCTGTGTATGAAATTCAGACCCACTAGCATTATCTCCATCAGATGACAGCCTTGTACCCACCACTACTGTTAATTTCAGAACTCCACTACAACCCCCTCATTATGCAAAGATTATGTGTTTTGAAGAAGCCAAATTTTCAGAGGACACCGATTTCACACCTTGAGCTAGCCGCTTTAAAAAGTTACATTATTCCTCTAATGTGGCTCTGTCTATAACACTAACCCCAATGAAAATCAACTCACTTGAAGATGGGGGCAATTAACATGGCAAGGTGAAACAGTCTAATGATCGAAAGGAAGCAAGATGCCTGATGCTGCAGCTCACGATGTGACTCAAAGTCCTTGGAAGAGAAAGGTGCCTCCACTGTGGGAGATCAGTGTCCCCAGTGGAGTCTTGATCAAAAGGGGGGAATATGTAAGCAAACCCCAGAACCTGAGGCATTGGGCCTAACTAAACTGGCTGACCTGGGTCTGGTTAGACTCTAGTTTATTTCAGACTCCATGTTTTCTCTCTAGCCTTACTTCTGTATTTTACCCACCACTGAGTTCTTGTAAAACTTTAAGTGCCATGTTTGGGGTACACTACAGGAGTGCGCACCCCTGTGGACCACTAAGATAAATGGCTGGGGGACTCATGGGGGAATAAAGTCAGGACTTCCTCTCAACTCTGATCTCAGTGTCCTTCCTATCAGAATCAGCCACAGAACAGCAGAAGCCACAGCATCACCGCCCGCTACTTACTCTGGTCGGCATAGTTCCTGGCCTTCAGCCCCGGCTGGTACACCTGGGTCAGGCGCACGCAGAAGCCACAGCATCACCCCCGCTACTTACTCTGGTCGGCATAGTTCCTGGCCTTCAGCTCCGGCTGGTACACCTGGGTCAGGCGCACGCAGAAGCCACAGCATCACCCCCGCTACTTACTCTGGTCGGCATAGTTCCTGGCCTTCAGCTCCAGCTGGCGTGTCTGGATCTCATAGCGCTCCACCTGGACTTGCAGCTCCTTCTTCTCTTGTTCCAAGGCATCTTCAAACTCAATGAACTTCTACATGGGAAAGGGAGAGAAAGAGCAGGTGGGCCTGAGTGCACACTGGCCACAAGGCAGCAACACGTGGCAACTGGAGCCACCTGCCCAGGCCAGTCCTGGGACCCAGGCTGTGGGGAACAAGAGGGTCATGGCTTCTCCAAGGCCACGGGGCTCATTGGGGTGGGAGCAGCATGCAGGCTTCCCACCTCATATCCCAGGCATGTCCCACACGTCACATTGCCTCTCACTCTGTTATGGAAGGAACCGTGTTCCCCAAAAGATATGGTCATCTTAAGCCGTGTGACCTTGTGTGCAAACAGGCTTTGCAGAGGTCATCAGTAAACGTGAGGTCGTGAGGGCAGGGGAAGGGGCTGACCTGATCTGAACAGTGTCCTTACGGAAGAAAAGACACACAGAGAGGGAAGATGGCCACGTGACAGTCAGAACAGAGACAGAGGGACATGCAGCTGCAAGCCAAGGAGCGCCTGGGACCACCCAGAGCTGAGGACATGCGTGTGGCCCTGCTGCCACCTTGCCTGCAGGGGCCTGGCCCCCAGAACCCTGAGGACATGTTTCTGTCACCATGAGCCTTTCAGCGTGTGGTGCTTTGTTACAGCGGCCCCAGGAGACTCATACACACCATCCTCAAGCACAGACAACGTGTGCCAGCAGCGGCTTTCCACACAGATTCCGAGATTAAACAGCTCTAAGACCTTGCAACCAGAAAGCCCTCTTGGACACTTCGGGTTTCTCTTGTCCAAACGTCCTAAGGGAATCTGGCGTGGGAGGGAGGCCTATCGTTTCCAATCAGGGCTACTGCACAGGCCTCCTCAGAACGGTGGTGCACTGGGTCAAACGTCCTGCTGTTGCCCACTTGCAATTTTTAAAAATAATTTCTGAACAAGGGACCCTGAACTACCGTCTTGCACAGCCCCCCATCTCAGCGAGGCGGCACCTCCTCCTCTCTTAGTCGTCTCAGTTCCTGTCCACTCGGGATGCATCATTAGGGAGCAGCCAGCAACACACAGTCCCTCTCCTGTCCCTTAAAGTGGGGTGGGGTGGGGCGGTCTACGTTTATGAGGCCCTGGTGGTCCGAACAATTCCTGTCTAAATGGAAGGCTGGCAGCTCAAACCCGCCCAGGGGCCCTGCACGGGAAAGGCCTGGTGATCCCCCGCTGAGAACCCAGCCACCGAGACCCTGCGGAGCGTGGTGTGGCCCTGACGCCATGGGGCCCCATGAGTGCGAGGTGAGGTGACAGGCATGTGGTCTGCCCTGGGGGCTGTTGTTTGGACTCGCTATCCTCATCTTACACAGTTAAGTTCCTGAGCAAAATCAACTCAAACCAAGGGAAAAGGAACCCTGTGCGGGGCCTGGCAGAGCAGTGAACATCTGCCTGACGTCCCCGGAGGCCCGTAAGCGCTGAGCAGATGCAATTCCCACAACGACCCCGAGGGAGAACTATGACCACCTCAGACTGGCTGATTCCGAAATACAGGAATATGATTCAGGAACTAGGAAATGCATCGAAAGACACACTAATACCAGCGGGGTTCCTGAGTTTCTCAGAAGACGCAACAATGAAGCTGACCACCGACCTCAAGTTCCAGGGTCGGGCTGGTTTGTGGTGGCCAAGCCTGCATTTCCCATAACTGCACCCAGCCCCCGCCCAGCTGCACGGCCCCAGAGAGGCTTCCACAGCAGCTTCTAGAAGGTCTTTGTGGCGGAAGCCACGGGGGCTCGGTGAAAACATGACTCACTGTGATCAGGGTGTGCGGTGGGCAGAGCCCTGGTGGCGGAGGGCGGGAGCCTGATCACCTGATCCAGGTAAAGGGGAAGAAAGGAATAGCCCACCGCTGGGAGGTACGTACACCCCGCACAGGTGCAGAAACCTAGAACTGAGCGGCCCACCGTGCAGAGCAGCCGAGACCAGCAAGCTAAGATCAGCCCGGGGCTGTCCTTTGATCCCAGCATTGTGGAACTGGGGATTCTAATCCCCACTGCTTTAAAAAAATTTAACCATGACGCAGGTATGACACAGGTAACACGCTTTTGTGGAACTATCAGGTGAGAGAGCGAGACAAGAGGAAGAATGGTTTTTGAATCCTAACCCTGAATCCAGAGTCAGCTAACATCCATGTTCCTCCAGATCTGTGCGTGAGGGTGTGCACATGCCGAGGACATGTGCAACCTGCATATGAGTGATGCCTTTTACAATCATCTATCCTGCAACACCTTCCTACAATAAACTAAGTCTACCACTTCTTCCATTTTTAACAGGTGTGTTCCACCATGGGTGCGAGTGTGAGCGCACATACGAGCAGGCGTGCGGGGCAGACACGCAGTTGCCATGTGCAGTGTTCTGCCACCTGCTTTATTCCCCTTTTACACCAGAACATCTTCTGACATCCGGACATGCACTCCCACTTCCATCTCTGACAGGCGCATATTCCAACGGGAGTCTGTGTAAGTGTGTGCAGAGCATTGTTCCTTCAATTGGTCGCCTGCTACTGGCCTTCCTGGTTGTTTGCAAATTGTCATTTTTCTTGCAAAGCTGCTCAGGGTTGAATCCTTTCACTGTACTTACTCAATCTGTGTGCTGAGCCCATAATCTGAGAAGCTGGACTCTATGAAGAAGAATGTGGCATCAGGATTGGAGAAAGACTCTAACAGCCTGAGATGTGCAGAAGACACAACTTTGATGAAAGTGAAGATGACTTGAAGCACTGACTGATGAAGATCAAAGATTTCAGTATGGACCATACCTCAACATCAAGAAAACAAAAATCCTTAAAACTGGACCAATAAGAAACATCACAATAAATGGAGAAAAGATTGAAGTTGTCAAAGATTTCATTTTATTTGGATCCACAATCAACACTCATGGAAGCAGCAGTCAAGAAATCAAAGAACATATTATACTCGGCAAATCTGCTGCAAAAAAACCCTCTTTTGAGTATTAAAAAGCAAAGACGTCAATCTGAGGACAAAGGTGCACCTGACCCAAGCCGCGTATTCTCAACTGTCTCATGTTCATGTGAAAGCTGGACAAGGAATAAGGAAGGCCAAAGAAGAACTGATGGCTTTGGAACACGGTCTTGGTGAAGAATGCTGAACATACTTGGACCACCAGAAGAACGGCCACGTCTGTCTTAGACAAAATACAGCCAGGAGGAGGCTCCTTAAGATGCAAGCATGGCGAGACTTCATCTCACCGCTTCGGACGTCTCACCCGGATGGACCAGTCCCTGGAGAAGGACATCAGGCTTGGTAGAGGGTCAGCGGAGGAAGAGAGGGCCTTGACGAGCTGGACTGAGCCAGGGCCGAGGCAGTGACGGGCGACAGAGCGGCGCCGGGCGGGGTGCTGTGGGGCCCACGGCACGCAGGGGCTCTCTCTGTCGGAACCGTCTTCACCGCACCCAGCGACAACAGTCTTCAGGCAGGTACATCACCAGGTCCCTCTCCCAAGGAGCCGCTGGTGAGTTCAAGCTGCCGACCTTTCGGTTAGCAGGTGAGCCTGAACCACTGTGCTACCAAGGCTTTTTCAAAGACAGAAAGGCACTCAGGGTCCCGGTGCTGAAGGGACAGCGGCTTGGGCGGGGCCTGAAAGGATCAAGTAGCTGGCTCCCCAGGCTGACGAAAGCCCGGGGGAGCTGGCTGGAGCGGGCGCGACCCGGCCCACGCAGCAAAAGTCCAAGAAATGCAGACGAGACATGCCCGGACTGCCAGTGTCCTCGCCCCGCCAGCCTGGCCCCAGAGGGTTCAGCACAAGGGGACCCACCGCAGCTGTACCACGCTCGAGGTGGGACCCCTCCCGGCGCTGCCACTCCAGGCAGGAGCGTCTTCAGGTGTGACCCTGACTCAGGGTTCCGAGTATATGCAAGTGTTCTCACAGATCAGTACAGTCTTCCAGGCAGAACGCTTGCTCCCCTGCTGGAGACAGGGTTTTTAAATACCCGGTCAGGCAGTTCGAGGTACCAAACGCAAGCTACCACGGAGCCAAAGCTGAATCCAGTGTTCACCCAACGTTACACAAAATGAACATGGTGAAGCAGTACCTGGCCAGGCGCTGGGAGTAAATGGTGCTTTGTATTCGGCGGGTGGGTGGGTGGAGGGAAGGAAGGGGCTAACCTAGGGTCGACTCAGAGGTCCAGCAGGGTCGCTGTGTGGGGGCAGGCAAAGGGGCCCGAGGGGCCTTCACGAACTGTTAGTCAAAGTCACAGAACACCCAGCAGAGGTTTCACAGTGACAATCTTTCTACCTACACCCGCTGCTTTCGAGTTAAAAGAATCTAAAAGTTTTCAGGGGAGGGGATGGAGCAGGGGACAGACTAAGTCTCTAAAGCATTTCTTTCTGTGAGAAAACTAAAAATACTCTTCCCCAAGATGGATGCTGGCATGACAAGGGCACATGAAAGGTCTCCACGAACATACTAACAACACACACTACAGGGCTAGGTTTACTTTAAATAGTCACATGTGATCAGCTGAGATCAGAATGTCACGTGGCTTCAGCACTTTTCATAGCAGCCAAAATGGGTACCTGACACAAAGGTCCATTGTCCGAGGACAGTCACAAGGTGTGGAGTATCCACACCCACAGCGTCACACAGAGGACGGACACACGGTGTGGGGTCACCACACCCACAGTACAACACACAGAGGACAGACGCACCGTGTGGGATAACTACACACACAGTGTCACAAAGAGGATGGACACACGGTGTGGGGTCACCACACCCAGTACAACACACAGAGGACGGACACAGGACATGGTATAGCCACACACACAGGGAACTCCCCTCAGCCATAAAGAAATGAGCTACATGCCACCACACACATGGATCTGGGAAACACCATGCCGGTGCCGGCGTCAGCCACACCGGGACTAATGCCGCGTGGCCTCACTTACGAGAACTCACGAGAACTGAGCGTCAGAGAAAGCAAAGTGGCTCAGCGGAGACGGGTGGGGGGGAGGGTGCACGGAAGCGTTTACTCGGGGGACGGACAGTGGTTTGGAAGA